TTGTATTGCCTTTCCGAACAGAGCACAGCACATATTTCATCCTGAGTAAGGTTTGCCATTTTGTGGGTAGATTGAAGCATATGTGAAATACAAGCGCTATAAATGTGTCATTTTTCATTTGTAATGCTTTGATATTGGTGTAGGCTCCTTGTGTCCTGCTAATACTGCTTCGTCTGGAAGGTTATCATAAGCACATCCACTTTCGCTTTAAGCTACAACGCAGGCACGTCCATCAGTGTTTTTTAGTATCTATAAACATGTTTCTGCGCGAAAATGAGTAAGACATATAGTCCCTCAAAGTACTACTGAAATCTTAAATTTTGGGTTCTGGCTCATGGACTAATCGTCTTGAGCGAGACAAAAAACGACAAAGGAGAAGTCACCAAGTTCAGAGTCTGTTTAGACCCTTGTGACCTGAGGAAATGGGCCAAAAGCGAACATTATAGTTCAAAGACAGTTGATGCGGTGGTAAGCAAGCTCAAAGCTGCTAAATTCTTCACCATTGTTGACGCATAGAAGGGGTACTGGCACGTACCACTCGACGAAGAGGGCTCCTACCTTACAACCTTCAACACACCATTTGGCCGATATTGCTTCAAAGGTCTCCCATTTGGCCTTGTTGTGTCACAAGACGTGTTTCAAAAGCAGCTCGACACAGCATTCAAAGGCCTCGATGGCGTCACCGGTTTTGTTGACGGCACATTTGTATATGGATTATCTGAAGCTGAGCATGACAGAAACCTGACCAAACTCATAGAAGGAGCACAACAGAAGGGGGTGGTATTCAACAAGAAAAAGTGCAGTTCAAGTGTAAGGAAGTCAGCCTCTTCGAACACACCTGGACGCCACAAGGAATCAAACCTGACAACAAGAAATTATCAGCTTCTCCTGGACATGAAACCGCCTAAGGATGTCAAGAGCCTACAGAGTTTCCTCGGCTTAGTCAACTATCTGACGAGATATTCTGGACGCCTAGCTACCCTGCCAGCACCACTGAAGGACCTGACCAAGAAAGACAATGCGTACTCCTCGGGACCTGAGCAAGACTGAGCCTTCACCGAGGTCAAGAAAGAAGTCTCATCACTCGTCGTACTTAGGAACTTCGACCTGCATGCAGAAACTGTCATTGAAACTGACGCCTCGCTGAAAGGGTTAGGCGCTGTACTACTGCAAAACGCACTGTCTGTATGGTATGCCTCGAAAGCCCTCACCAAGACCGAACAGTGATACAGTAACATTGAACGTGAGGCACTCGGCGTCATCTGGGAACTTGAAAGGTTTCATTACTTCATCTACGGCAAGTCCTGCACTATTCACACAGATCACAAGCCGCTCGAGACGATCTTCAAGAAAAAACTAAGCAACTGCTCTGTGAGAATACAGAGGTTTGTACTATATGTGAAGGGAGCCGAAGTACTCATCACCGATGCCCTCTCCAGAGTATCACCACAGCCAGCTCCACCTGAAGGAGAATTCCCACAATTAGACATCCAGCAGATTATAGAGAATCTCCCAGCATCACCGATAAAGCTTCAACAGATTCGCAACGAGACAGCTAACGACCCAACGTTAAGCAAACTCTTCGTTGTGATACATCAAGGGTGGTCTGCGACCAGGGAGAAATGCTCTAACGCACTCCACAACTTCCGCGAGGAACTTACCATTGAGGACGGCCTCATCCTGAAGCAAGAGCGCAGTCATGCCTAACACGCTCAGTACCTCCCGTGTCATCATCAATCACCTGAAAAGCATCTTCGCTGAACATGGGATACCAGAAAGGCTTACCACAAACGGTCCTCAGTTTGCATCACAGGAATTCCGTGACTTCATGCAGACCTATGGAGTAGAACATGTTACCAGCTCCCCGATGTACCCCCAGTCTAATGGCTCTGCACAACGCATGGTTCAGACAGTAGAGAATATCCTTAAGAAATGTGAGGAAGAAGGAGAAGACCCCTACCTGGGACTACTATCCCACCGTAAGACACCTGTCAGCAGCAACTTGAAATCTCTAGCAGAACTGCTGAACAACTGTAAGTTCAGGACCATCCTACTAATGTCCAAACGTGTAAGTGTCAGCGAAACTACCAGTAAGACAAAGGAAGAGACAAAAACAAAAACCAGGGACAAAAAACTACAAGCATTCTACTACAACGAGACTGCTGGACCGACATTACAACCATTTCAACCAGGTCAGCCTATCAACATCTATGACCACCACACTCAGAGGTGGGGAACGAGGAACAGTTATCAGACCTGCGAAGGAACCAAGATCCTTCATCGTTAAGAACGACCGATCAGAAGGTGTCTACTTTTGCACTCGATCACAGCCGAAACCCAGACCCGAGGTAAAGGACGACAGCATTAAAGAACCATCACCAACTACTCCTGAGACAGCAGCATCGCAAGATAGCCCTGCTACCCAACCTCACGACGGTCAACCCTACACAACAAGATCTGGACAACTTCAAAACCTCCAGACAGACTAGACGTTTAAATACTGAACGCTTGAACCATGTTGAATACTACCGTTATAGATTAGTCATAAACACTATCATTAGTTATGCATATCGTTCTTTATACAAACATCATAACTTGTTTTTTTAAAAGTATCTAATCTGTTACGATTTTTATGTAACTTAACGATTTCTCTGTTACGCATGTTGATTACGTAACGTGTAATTTATCACGTGCAGTATTTTACCTGACCCCAAGCTTTTGTAGTAATGGCTGAACAAACAACTTGAGTTGAATTACGAGTCTATTTACAACTCGCGCGACTTTGTTGATCAAATACTCTAGCTTACAGATTTTTGACCAAAAAAAGAGACTCCTCGCAGTCTAGCGTTTACATGCAATCGTAACACCCCGCCATCCTGGGGTGCGCGTTCTTAAGATTATTGAGTGGTCGCTAAGTTCTTAAACAAACAAAATGGTGGACAAACCACTAGTGTTGGCGGTGAATGCTCTATTTCTTTCACTTCCTGTTCTTGCTGCAGCCTTTCAGTGCTGCGCCTATCTGCAAGCACTTTTGATTATACAAAGCCTCCGCCAAAGGCAGTTAGCTTTTCAGTCAATGCAACAGTATAATGCTGCCGCAAGACTTCGGCGCATTCGAAGAAGAATAGTATATCGTCGAGGTAGAGTATAAAGAAATTCAGGGAGGGCAGACCAGTGGTGGTTTAACTTATACAATGGAATTTTGCCGGAAAGAGAATGGAAAAAGAACTTAAGAATGAATCGTGAAGTGTTTTCCTTTAGAAGACGAATTGCGACCCTTTCTTCAACCTTGTAGGAGCCCAAGAGGACTTGACGTGCTCTCAGTTGAAAAACAACTTGCCATGACACATGACCTCGTAGTGAATGCATGTGTTCTTATCATGAGAGGCAAGAAATGATATTTTTTGCTTCCTTCTGATATCCTGGTCAACGAGCTAACCATATCTGTTCAAAAAATGCAACAAGAAACCGAAAGTTGTGTTTTGGACAAAGATCCATTGGCGGTAAGCAGTGAAAAAAGCGAAAACGAACGGTCGCACGTGAGAGCTATCCACCCAAGTAAGGATTTAAATAGATATATAATGAGTAGTATAGGGCGCACCGAATTATCCCCTTTTTGGGGGGAATCTCATTAAGGTGGGGGGGAATAAATTAACGCCAGTGACGTCATAACCTTTTGTCTTGATCTCACGAATAAAATGCGCAGGAATCTCATAAAGATAGGGTCATGTGCTATTTTTAGATGGATGATGAAAAAATATGACAAATGGAGCAAATTTGAATTTCCCGTGCTTCTGAAAATTGTCAACACTCTCAGCGATCTTCAACATCTCTCTTCACTCTCTTCAGGTGGAGATGTTTCTCTCTTTGGAGCCTCGCTCCAAAACTTTTTTACGAATTTCATAACATTTGTCAGAGATGATGACATCCCATCATCAATAATTCGGACGCCGAAATTCAGTCAACAACCAAACCGGAAGTTTTATCACCAACTGAAACACTAATAATCTCGCCAACCCGTTTAAAGACAATCTCATCCATGCGGAGCACACTCGGGCAGCTAAAGGCAGATTTTACAGAATTTCATATGACCACTACCGGGGATCTGGAACAGCTAAAAGACAAAACCGTTAAACAAGATCACCTAATTAAACTACAAAAACAATCATCTGACGATATACTCAATGATTTTTCTTCGCAGATTACAACACTCCAAAAAATAGTGTCTCAACAATCAAACATTATTAAAAAATTGCAAGATGAAAACCAAATCCTCCACAAGAAACACGTTCAAATTGACAAAGCAAATCAGGCCCTGCAAGAATCACAAAATAATCTGATGACAGAAATTAATTTCCTTGAAGAACAAATGACAGCGCTTTGGCAAAACTCGAAGGAAGCTGACCTCCCCAGCCGTTCCTCATAACCTGACTCTTCTTGCTCCGAAAACACCACTGACAGCGAACCCAAAAAAAACCACTGTGAGGCATCTCGACTACCCATCACAGCTCAAAAGCTTACAGTAAATATTCCCACGGAAAACAAGTTTTCACTGCTCAGGAATTGTGACACATCTGACATCTTATCCAACACACAGCAAGAAATTGACCCGGAGACAAACACAGAAAATATGATTCAAAAAACCTCTGCAGCGTAGTACCTATAAATGTTAATTTAAAAATTGTAAAACGGACGCTGCTATTATAAGAATCTTAACCGACGTTTCGGCAATTTTTAACAGTATTTAGTCTTGTATACCCTGAAGAAGGCAGCATTGCCGAAACATCACTGTTGTTGCTGTTGTCGTACCGTTGTCACCATTGTCACTGTTGTCACCCTCATCACTTTTGTCACCGTTGTCAGCGTTATCTCTGTTGTCACCATTGTCGCTATTGTTGCGGTTGTGACCGTTGTCACTGTAGTCGCTGTTGTCCTGGTTGTCACTGTTGTTGGTTTACAACCATTGTCAGTGTTGTCACCGTTGTTGCTGTTGTCTGTGTGGTCAATGTGGTCACCGTTGTCACCGTTGTCGCTGTTGTCTTTCTTGTAACTGTTGTCACCGTTGTCACTGTTGTAACCGTTGCCACTTTTGTCAACGTTGTCGCGGTTGTCAGTGTTGTCACCGTTGTCGCTGTTGTTAGTGTTGTCACTGTTGTCATTGTTGTCGCAGTTGTCACCTTTGTCACTGTTGTCACCATTGTCACCCTTGGCACTGTTGTCACCGTTGTCACCATTGTCACTGTTTTCACCCTTGTCGCTGTTTTCACCGTTGTTGCTGTTGTCACCGTATTCGCTGTTGTAACCGTTGTCACTGTTCCCACTGTTGCCACCGTTGTCACTGTTGTCACCATTGTCAATGTTGTCACGGTTGTCACTGTCGTCACTGTTGTCACTGTTGTCGCTGTTGTCACTGTTGTCACCGCTTTCACCCTTCTCACTGTTGTCACCGTTTTCATCCTTGTCACTGTTGTCGCCATTGTTACCATTTTCCCTGTTGTCACCATTGTCACCGTCGTCACTGTAGTCAACGTTGTCACAGTTGTCACTTTTTCACTGTTGTCGCTTTTGTCACTGTTGTCAGTGTTGTCGCTGTTGTCACCGTTGTTACTTTAGTCACTGCTGTCCCTGTTGTCACTGTTGTCGCTGTTGTCACCGTTGAAACTGTTGTCAGTGTTGTCATTGTCGTCACCGTTGTCACGGTTGTCAATGTTGTCACTCTTCCCACTGTTGTCACTGTTTCCACGGTTGTCAATGTTGTCACGGTTGTCACTGTTGTAACTGTTGTCAATGTTGTCACAGTTGTCACTGTTGTCACCGTTGTCACTGTTGTCATTGTTGTCGCTGTTGTTAGTGTTGTCACTGTTGTCATTGTTGTCGCAGTTGTCATCTTTGTCACTGTTGTCAACGTTGTCCCTTTTGTCACTGTTTTCACCCTTGTCGCTGTTATCAATGTTGTTGCTGTTGTCAGTGTTGTCACCGTACTCGCTGTTGTCACCGTTGTCACTGCTCCCACTGTTGTCACCGTTGTCACCGTTTCCGCGATTGTCAATGTTGTCACGGTTGTCACCGTCGTCACTGTTGCCCCGGTTGTCGCTGTTGTCACCATTTTCACCCTTGTCACTGTCAAAGTTGTTGCTGTTGTCACTGTTGTCACAGTTGTTGCTGTTGTCACTGTTGTCACGGTTGTCAGTATTGTCAATGTTGTCACCGTTGTCACTGTTGTCACCATTGTCACTGTTGGTAGGTTGTCACTGTTTTCACCCTTGTCGCTGTTCTCACCGTTGTTGCTGTTGTCAGTGTTGTCACCGTAGTCGCTGTTGTCACCGTTGTCACTGTTCCCACTGTTGCCACCGTTGTCACTGTTGTCACCGTTTTCAATGTTGTCACGGTGGTCACCGTCGTCACTGTTGTCACCGTTGTCGCTGTTGTCACTGTTTTCACCAATGTCACTGTTGTCGCCATTGTTACCATTTTCCCTGTTGTCACCATTGTCACCGTCGTCACTGTAGTTACCGTTGTCAAGGTTGTCACTTTTTCACTGTTGTCGCTGTTGTCACTGTTGTCGCTGTTGTCACAGTTGTCACTGTTGTCACCGTTGTTACTTTAGTCACTGTTTCCACCATTGTCAATGTTGTCACGGTTGTTACTGTCATCACTGTTGTCACCGTTGTCACTGTTGTAACCGTTGTCAATGTTGTCACCGTTGTCACTGTTGTCACCGTTGTCACTGTTGTCATTGTTCTCGCTGTTGTTAGTAATGTCACTGTTGTCATTGTTGTCGCAGTTGTCATCTTTGTCACTGTTGTCATCGTTGTCACTCTCGTCACCGTTGTCACTGTTTTCACCCTTGTCGCTGTTATCAACGTTGTTGCTGTTGTCAGTGTTGTCACCGTACTAGCTGTTGTCAACAGTTGTCACTGCTCCCACTGTTGTCACCGTTGTCACCGTTTCCGCCATTGTCAATGTTGTCTCGGTTGTCACCGTCATCACTGATGTCACTGTTGTCCCGGCTGTCGCTGTTGTCACCATTTTCACCCTTGTCACTGTCAAAGTTGTCGCTCTTGTCACTGTTGTCACAGTTGTTGCTGTTGTCACTGTTCTCACGGTTGTCAGTGTTGTCAATGTTGTCACGGTTGTCACCGTCATCACTCTTGTCACCTTTGTCATTGTTGTCACCGTTGTCACTGTTGTCACCGTTGTCACGGTTCTCACCGTTGTCGCTGTTGTCACCATTGTCACTGTTGTCACCGTCATCACTTTTGTCACTACTGTCAGCGTTATCTCTGTTGTCACGATTGTCGCTATTATCAAGGTTGTCACCGTCATCACTGTTGTCACCTTTGTCACTGTTGTCACCGTTGTCACGGTTGTCAGTGTCGTCACTGTTGTCGCTATTGTCACCATGTTCACTGTTGTCACCGTCATGACTTTTTCACCATTGTTAGCGTTATCTCTGTTGTCACCATTGTCGCTATTGTTGTGGTTGTGACCGTTGTCACTGCAGTCGCTGTTGCCATGGTTGTCACTATTGTTGGTTTACAACCATTGTCAGTGTTGTCACCGTTGTCGCTGTTGTCAGTGTGGTCAATGTGGTCACCGTTGTCTTCGTTGTAACTGTTCTCACCGTTGTCACTGTTGTAACCGTTGTCACCTTTGTCACTGTTGTCACCATTGTCACTCTTGGCACTGCTGTCACCGTTGTCCCTTTTGTCACTGTTGGCACTGTTGGCACTGTTGTCACCGTTGTCACTGTTGTCACCATTGTCACTGTTTTCACCATTGTCGCTGTTTTCACCATTGTCGCTGTTGTCACCGTTGTTGCTGTTGTCAGTGTTGTCACCGTATTCGCTGTTGTCACCGTTGTCACTGTTGTCAATGTTGTCACCGCTTTCACCCTTGTCACTATTGTCGCCATTGCTACCATTTTCCCTGTTGTCACCATTGTCACCGTCGTCACTGTAGTTACCGTTGTCACGGTTGTCACTTTTTCACTGTTGTCGCTGTTGTCACTGTTGTCAGTGTTGTCGCTGTTGTCACCGTTGTTACTTTAGTCACTGCTGTCCCTGTTGTAACTGTTGTCACCGTTGAAACTGTTGTCAGTGTTGTCATTGTTGTCACGGTTGTCAATGTTGTCACTGTTCCCACTGTTCACTGTTTCCACCGTTGTCAATGTTGTCACGGTTGTCACTGTCATCACTGTTGTCACCGTTGTCACTGTTGTAACCGTTGTTAATGTTGTCACCGTTGTCACTGTTGTCATTGTTGTCGCAGTTGTTAGTGTTGTCACTGTTGTCATTGTTGTCGCAGTTGTCATCTTTGTCACTGTTGTCACTGTTGTCATCGTTGTCACTGTTGTCAACGTTGTCCCTTTTGTCACTGTTGTCACCTTTGTCACAGTTGTCACCGTTGTCACTGTTGTCACGGTTGTCAGCGTCGTCACTGTTGTCACTGTTGTCGCTATTGTCATTATTGTCACTGTTGTCACCGTCATGACTTTTGTCACTGTTGTCACCGTTGTCACTGTTGTAACCGTTGTCAATGTTGTCACCGTTGTCACTGTTGTCACCGTTGTCACTGTTGTTATTGTTGTCGCTGTTGTTAGTGTTGTCACTGTTGTCATTGTTGTCGCAGTTGTCATCTTTGTCACTGTTGTCATCGTTGTCACTGTTGTCAACGTTGTCCCTTTTGTAGCTGTTTTTACCCTTGTCGCTGTTATCAAGGTTGCTGCTGTTGTCACTGTTGTCACCGTACTAGCTGTTGTCACCATTGTCACTGCTCCCACTGTTGTCACCGTTTCCGCCTTTGTCAATGTTGTCACGGTTGTCACTGTCGTCACTGTTGTCACTGTTGTCCCGGTTGTCGCTGTTGTCACCATTTTCACCATTGTCACTGTCAAAGTTGTCGCTGCTGTCACAGTTGTTGCTGTTGTCACTGTTGTCACGGTTGTCAATGTTGTCACTGTTGTCACGGTTGACACTGTTTTCACCCTTGTCGCTGTTGTCACCGTTGTTGCTGTTGTCAGTGTTGTCACCGTAGTTGCTGTTGTCACCGTTGTCACTGTTCCCATTGTTGCCACCGTTGTCACCGTTGTCAATGTTGTCACCGTCATCACTTTTGTCACTGTTGTCAGCATTATCTCTGTTGTCACCATTGTCGCTATTGTCACGGTTGTCACCGTAATCACTGTTGTTACCTTGGTCACTGTTGTCACCGTTGCCACTGTTGTCACGGTTGTCACCGTCGTCACTGTTGTCGCTTTTGTCACTGTTGTCACCATTGTCACTGTTGTCAGCGTCATCACTTTTGTCACCGTTGTCAACGTTATCTCTGTTGTCACTATTGTCGCTGTTGTTGCGGTTGTCACCGTTGTCACTGTAGTCGCTGTTGTCATAGTTGTCACTGTTTTTGGTTTACCACCATTGTCAGTGTTGTCACCGTTGTCGCTGTTGTCAGTGTGGTCAATGTGGTCACCGTTGTCCCCGTTGTGACTGTTGTCACCGTTGTAACTGTTGTCACTGTTGTCACCGTTGTCACTATTGTCACCTTAACCACTTTTTTCAATGTTGTCGCGGTTGTCAGTGTTGTCACCGTTGTCGCTGTTGTCAGTGTTGTCACCGTACTCCCTGTTGTCACCGTTGTCACTGTTCCCAGTGGTGTCACCGTTGTCACTGTTTCCACCGTTGTCACAGTTGTCACCATCGTGACCATCGTCACTGTTGTCACCGTTTTCACTGTTGTCGCCATTGTCGCTGTTGTCACCATTTTCACCCTTGTCACTGTCAAATTTGTCGCTGTTTTCACTGTTGTTGCTGTTATCACTGTTGTCACGGTTGTCACTGTTGTCAATGTTGTCACCGTTGTCACTGTTGTCATCGTTTTCACTGTTGTAACGGTTGTCACCGTCATCACTGTGTCACCTTTGTCACTGTTGTCACCTTTGTCACTGTTGTCACCGTTGTCACTGTTGTTACCGTTGTCACTATTGTCCCCGTTGTCACTGTTGTCACCGTTGTCACCATGGTCACTGTTGTCACCATTGTCACTGTTTTCACCCTGGTCGCTGTTGTAACCGTTGTTGCTGTTGTCAGTGTTGTCACTGAGGTCAGGGTTGTCACCGTCGTCCCTGTTTTCACTGTTGTTGCTGTTGTCACCATTGTCCCGGTTGTCGCTGTTGTCACCATTTTCACCCTTGTCACTGTCAAAGTTGTCACTGCTTTCACTGTTGTAACAGTTGTTGCTGTTATCACTGTTGTCATGGTTGTCAGTGTTGTCAATGTTGTCACCGTTGTCACTGTTGTCACCGTTTTCACTGTTGTCACGGTTGTCACCAACGTCACTGTTGTCACCTTTGTCACCGTTGTCACTGTTGTTACCATTGTCACTGTTGTCCCCGTTGTCGCTGTTGTCACCGTTGTCACCATTGTCACTGTTGTCACCGTCATCACTTTTGTCACTGTTCTCAGCGTTATCTCTCTTGTCACCATTGTCGCTATTGTCACGGTTGTCACCGTCATCACTGTTGTCACCGTTGTAACTGTTGTCACGGTTGTCACCCTCGTCACTGTTGTCGCTATTGCTGTGGTTGTGACCGTTGTCACTGTAGTTGCTGTTGTCATGGTTGTCACTATTGTTGGTTTACCACCATTGTCAGTGTTGTCACTGTTGTCACCGTTGTTACCGTTGTCACTGTTGTCACCGTTGCCACTGTTGTCACCAATGTCACCGTTGCCACTTTTGTCAACATTGTCACGGTTGTCAGTGTTGTCATCGTTGTCGCTGTTGTTAGTGTTGTCACTGTTGTCATTGTTGTCGCAGTTGTCACCTTTCTCGCTGTTGTCACTGTTGTCACCATTGTCACTCTTGGCACTGCCGTCACCGTTGTCGCTTTTGTCACCATTGTCACTGTTGTCACCATTGTCACTGTTTTCACCCTTCTCGCTGTTGTAACCGTTGTTGCTGTTCTCAGTGTAGTCACCGTAGTCGCTGTTGTCACCGTTGTCACTGTTCCCACTGTTGTGACCGTTGTCACTTTTTCCAAAGTTGTCAATGTTGTCACGGTTGTCACCGTCGTCACTGTTGTTCGTGTTGTGACTGTTGTCACCGTTGTCGCTGTTGTCACTGTTGTCACCGTTTTCACCCTTGTCACTGTCAACTTTGCCCCTGTTGTCACCATTGTCACTGTTTTCACCCTTGTCGCTGTTGTCACCGTTGTTGCTGTTGTCAGTTTTGACACCGTAGTCGTTAATGTCACCGTTGTCACTGTTCCCACTGTTGCCCCCGTTGTCACTGTTGTCACCGTTTTCACCCTTGTCACTGTCAAAGTTGTCGCTATTGTCACTGTTGTCACAATTGTTGCTGTTGTCACTGTTTTCACGGGTGTCAGTGTTCTCAATGTTTTCACCGTTGTCACTGTTGTCACCGTCATCACTGTTGTCACCGTTGGCACTGTTGTCACCGTTGTCACTGTGTTCACTGTTGTCACGGTTGTCACCATTGTCGCTGTTGTCACCGTTGTCACCATTGTCACTGTTGTCACCATCATCACTTTTGTCACTGTTGTCAGCGTTATCTCTGTTCTCACCATTGTCGCTATTGTCACGGTTGTAACCGTCATCACTGTTTTTACCTTGGTTACTGTTGTCACTGTTGTCACCGTTGTCACGGTGGTCACCGTCGTCACTGTTATCACTGTTGTCTCTGCTGTCACCGTTTTCACCATTGTCACTGTTGTCACCGTCATCACTTTTGTCTCCGTTGTCAGCGTTATCTCTGTTGTCGCCATTGTCGCTATTGTTGGGGTTGTGACTGTTGTCACTGTTGTTGGTTTACCACAATTGTCAGTGTTGTCACAGTTGTCGCAGTTGTCGGTGTGGTCAATAGGGTCACCGTTGTCACCGTTGTCGATGTTGTCACCGTTGTAACTGTTGTCACTGTTGTCACCGTTGGGACTGTTGTCACCGTTGTCGCTGTTGTCACCGTACTCGCTGTTGTCACCGTTGTCGATGTTGTCACCGTTGTAACTGTTGTCACTGTTGTCACCGTTGCCACTGTTGTCACCGTTGTCGCTGTTGTCACCGTACTCGCTGTTGTCACCGTTATCACTGTTCCCACTGTTCTCACCGTTGTCACTGTTTCCATCGTTGTCAATGTTGTCACAGTTGTCACTATCGTCACTGTTGTCACCGTTGTCACTGTTGTCGCTGTTGTCACCATTTTAACTTTTGTCACTGTCAAAGTTGTCGCTGTTGTCAGTGATGTTACAGATGTTGCTGTAGTCAGTGTTGTCAATGTTGTCACGGTATTCGCTGGTGTCAACGTTGTCACTGTTGTCAATGTTGTCACTGTCATCACTGTTGTCACTGTGGTCACCTTTGTCACTGTTGTCACCGTTGTCACTGTTGTTACCGTTGTCACTGTTGTCACGGTTGTCACCGTTGTCACTGTTGTCACTGTTGTAACTGTTGTCACCATTGTCACTGTTTCACCGTCATCACTTTTGTCACTGTTGTCAGCGTTATCTCTGTTGTCAGCATTGTCGCTATTGTCACGGTTGTCATCGTCATCCCTGTTGTCACCTTGGTCACTGTTGTCACTGTTTTCACCCTTGTCGCTGTTATCAACGTTGTTGCTGTTGTCAGTGTTGTGACCGTTGTCACTGCTCCCAGTGTTGTCACCGTTTCCGCCTTTGTCAATGTTGTCACGGTTGTCACCGTCGTCACTGTTGTCACTGTTGTCCCGGTTGTGGCTGTTGTCACCATTTTCACCCTTGTCACTGTCAAAGTTGTCGCTGTTGTCACTGTTGTTGCTGTTGTCACTGTTGTCACGGTTGTCAGTGTTGTCAATGTTGTGATCGTTGTCACTGTTGTCATGGTTGTCACTGTTTTCACCCTTGTCGCTGTTGTCACTGTCATCACTTTTGTCACCGTTATCTCTGTTGTCACTATTGTCGCTATTGTTGCGGTTGTGACCGTTGTCACTGTTGTCATAGTTGTCACTGTTGTTGGTTTACCACCATTATCGCTGTTGTCAGTGTGGTCAATGTGGTCACCGTTGTCCCCGTTGTGACTGTTGTCGCTGTTGTCACCATTGTAACTGTTGTCACTGTTGTCACCATTGTCACTGTTGTCACCTTAACCACTTTTTTCAACGTTGTCGCGGTTTGTCAGTGTTGTCACCGTTGTCGCTGTTGTCAGTGTTGTCACCGTACTCGCTGTTGTCACCGTTGTCATTGTTTCCACCGCTGTCACGGTTGTCACCATCGTCACTGTTGTCACCGTTGTCACTGTTGTCGCCGTTGTCGCTGTTGTCACCATTTTCACCCTTGTCACTGTCAAAGTTGTCGCCGCTTTCACTGTTGTCACAGTTGTTGCTGTTATCACTGTTGTCATGGTTGTCAGTGTTGTCAATGTTGTCACCGTTGTCACCGTTTTCACTGTTGTCACGGTTGTCACCAACATCACTGTTATCACCTTTGTCACTGTTGTTACCATTGTCACTGTTGTCCCCGTTGTCACCATTGTCACTGTTTTCACCGTCATCACTTTTGTCACTGTTCTCAGCGTTATCTCTCTTGTCACCATTGTCACGGTTGTCACCGTCATCACTGTTGTCACCGTTGTAACTGTTGTCACGGTTGTCACCGTCGTCACTGTCGTCACTGTTGTTAGTGTTGTGACTGTTGTCACCGTTGTCGCTGTTGTCACTGTTGTCACCGTTTTCACCCTTGTCACTGTCAACTTTGCCACTGTTGTCACCATTGTCACTGTTTTCACCCTTGTCGCTGTTGTCACCGTTGTTGCTGTTGTCAGTTTTGACACCGTAGTCGTTAATGTCACCGTTGTCCCTGTTCCCACTGTTGCCCCCATTGTCACCGTTTTCACCCTTGTCACTGTCAAAGTTGTCGCTGTTGTCACTGTTGTCATAATTGTTGCTCTTTTCACTGTTTTCACGGGTGTCAGTGTTCTCAATGTTTTCAGTGTTGTCACTGTTGTCACCGTCATCACTGTTGTCACCATCATCACTTTTGTCACTGTTGTCAGCGTTATCTCTGTTCTCACCATTGTCGCTATTCTCACGGTTGTAACCGTCATCACTGTTTTTACCTTGGTCACTGTTGTCACCGTTGTCACGGTGGTCACCGTCGTCACTGTTATCACTGTTGTCTCTGTTGTCACCGTTTTCACCATTGTCACCGTTGTCACCGTCATCACTTTTGTCTCCGTTGTCAGCATTATCTCTGTTGTCGCCATTGTCGCTATTGTTGGGGTTGTGACCGTTGTCACTGTTGTAGGTTTACCACAATTGTCAGTGTTGTCACAGTTGTCGCAGTTGTCGGTGTGGTCAATAGGGTCACCGTTGTCGATGTTGTCACCGTTGTAACTGTTGTCACTGTTGTCACCGTTGTCACTGTTGTCACCGTTGGGACTGTTGTCACCGTTGTCGCTGTTGTCACCGTACTTGCTGTTGTCACCGTTATCACTGTTCCCGCTGTTCTCACCGTTGTCACTGTTTCCATCATTGTCAATGTTGACACGGTTGTCACCATCGTCACTGTTGTCACCGTTGTCACTGTTGTCGCTGTTGTCACCATTTTAACTTTTGTCACTGTCAAAGTTGTCGCTGTTGTCATAGTTGTTGCTGTTGTCACTGTCGTCAGTGTTGTCAATGTTGTCACCGTATTCGCTGGTGTCACCGTTGTCACTGTTGTCAATGTTGTCACTGTCATCACTGTTGTCACTGTTGTCACCTTTGTCACTGTTGTCACTATTGTTACCGTTGTCACTGTTGTCACGGTTGTCACCGTTGACGCTGTTGTCACTGTTGTCACCATTGTGACTGTTTCCACCCTTGTCGCTGTTGTTACCGTTGTCACTGTTTCCACTGTTGTCACTGTTGTCGCCGTTGTCGCTGTTGTCACTGTTTTCGCTGTTTTCACCCTTGTCACTGTCAAAATTGTCGCTGTTGTCACGGTTGTCAGTGTTGTCAATGTTGTCACCGTTGTCACTGTTGTCACTGTTGTCACGGTTGTCATTGTCATCACTGTTGTCACCTTTGTCACTGTTGTCACCGTTGTCTCTGTTGTCACCGTTGTCAGTGTTGTCACGGTTGTCACCATTGTCGCTGTTGTCACCGTTGTCGTCATTGTCACTGTTGTCACCGTCATCACTTTTCTCACTGCTGTCAGCGTTATTTCTGTTGTCACCATTGTTGCTACTGTCACGGTTGTCATCGTCATCACTGTTGTCACCTTGGTCACTGTTTTCACCGTCGTCACTGTTCTCACTGTTGTCGCTGTTGTCACTGTGTCACCATTGTCATTGTTGTCACCGTCATCACTTTTGTCACTGTTGTCAGCATTATCTCTGTTGTCACCATTGTCGCTTTTGTCACGGTTGTCACCGTCATCACTGTTGTCACCTTGGTCACTGTTGTCACGGATGTCACCGTCGTCACTGTTGTCACTGTTGTCGCTGTTGTCACTGTTGTCACCGTTGTCACCATTGTCACTGTTGTCACCGTCATCACTTTTGTCACCGTTGTAAGCGTTATCTCTGTTGTCACTATTGTCGCTATTGTTGCGGTTGTGACCGTTGTCACTGTAGTCGCTGTTGTCATAGTTGTCACTGTTGTTGGTTTACCACCATTGTCAGTGCTTTCACCGTTGTAAGTGTGGTCAATGTGGTGACCGTTGTCCCCGTTGTGACTGTTTTCGCTGTTGTCACCGTTGTAACTGTTGTCACCATTTTTACCTTAACCACTTTTTTCAACGTTGTCGCGGTTGTCAGTGTTGTCACCGTTGTCGCTGTTGTCAGTGTTGTGACCGTACTCGCTGTTGTCACCGTTGTCACTGTTTCCACCGTTGTCATGGTTGTCACCATCGTCACTGTTGTCACCGTTGTCACTGTTGTCGCTGTTGTCACCATTTTCACCCTTGTCACTGTCAAAGTTGTCGCTGCTTTCACTGTTGTCACAGTTGTTGCTGTTATCACTGTTGTCAGTGTTGTCAATGTTGTTACCGTTGTCACTGTTGTCACCATTTTCACTGTTGTCACGGTTGTCACCAACATCACTGTTGTCACCTTTGTCACTGTTGTTACCGTTGTCACTGTTGTCCCCGTTGTCGCTGTTGTCACCGTTCTCACCATTGTCACTGTTGTCACCGTCATCACTTTTGTCACTGTTGTCAGCGTTATCTCTGTTGTCACCATTGTCGCGGTTGTCACCGTCATCACTGTTTTCACCTTTGTCACTGTTGTCACCGTTGTAACTGTTGTCACCGTTGTCACCGTCATCACTGTTGTCACCTTTGTCACTGTTGTCACCGTTGTCACGGTTGTCAGTGTTGTCAATATTGTCACCATTGTCACTGTTGTCACGGTTGTCACGTTCATCACTGTTGTCATTGTTGTCACCCTTGTCACTGTTGTCACCGTTGTCACTGTTGTTACCGTTGTCACTGTTGTCACGGTTGTCCCTGTTGTCGCTGTTGTCACTGTTGTCGCCGTTGTCGCTGTTGTCACTGTTGTCACTGTTTTCACCCTTGTCACTGTCAAAATTGTCGCTGTTGTTACTGTTGTCACGGTTGTCAGTGTTGTCAATGTTGTCACCGTTGTCACTGTTGTCACTGTTGTCACGGTTGTCATTGTCATCACTGTTGTCACCTTTGTCACTGTCGTCACCGTTGTCTCTGTTGTCACCGTTGTCACTATTGTCACGGTTGTCACCATTGTCACTGTTGTCACCGTTGTCGTCATTGTCACTGTTGTCACCGTCATCACTTTTGTCACTGTTGTCAGCGTTATCTCTGTTGTCACCATTGTCGCTATTGTCACGGTTGTGACCGTCATCGCTGTTGTCACCGTTGTCACCATTGTCATTGTTGTCACCGTCATCACTTTTGTCACTGTTGTCATGGTTCTCTCTGTTGTCATTATTGTCGCTATTATTGCGGTTGTGACCGTTGTCACTGTTGTCGCTGCTGTTATGGTTGTCACTGTTGTTAGTTTACCACCATTGTTAGTGTTCTCACAGTTGTCGCTGTTGTCAGTGTGGTCAATGGGGTCACCGTTGTCACCGTTGTCACCGTTGCCACTTTTGTCAACGTTGTCGCGGTTGTCAGTATTGTCACCGTTGCCCCTGTCGTTAGTGTTGTCACTGTTGTCATTGTTCTCGCAGTTGTCACCTTTGTCACTGTTGACACCGTTGTCACTCTTGGCACTGCTGTTACCATTGTCTCTTTTGTCACTGTTGTCAGCGTTATCTCTGTTGTCACCATTGTCGCTATTGTCACGGTTGTCACCGTCATCATTGTTTTCACCTTTGTCACTGTTGTCACCGTTGTAACTGTTGTCACCGTTGTCACCGTCATCACTGTTGTCACCTTTGTCACTGTTGTCACCGTTGTCACGGTTGTCAGTGTTGTCAATATTGTCGCCGTTGTCACTGTTGTCACGGTTGTCACTGTCATCACTGTTGTCATTGTTGTCACCTTTGTCACTGTTGTCACTGTTGTTACCGTTGTCACGGTTGTCACCGTTGTCGCTGTTGTCACTGTTGTAACTGTTGTCACCATTGTCACTGTTTCCACCCTTGTCGCTGTTGTTACCGTTGTCACTGTTTTTACTGTTTTCACTGTTGTCGTTGTTGTCGCTGTTGTCACTGTTTTCACCCTTGTCACTGTCAAAATTGTCGCTGTTGTTACTGTTGTCACTGTTGTCACGGTTGTCAGTGTTGTCAATGTTGTCACCGTTGTCACTGTTGTCACTGTTGTCACGGTTGTCATTGTCATCACTGTTGTCACCTTTGTCACTGTTGTCACCGTTGTCTCTGTTGTCACCGTTGTCACCATTGTCGCTGTTGTCACCGTTGTCGTCATTGTCACTGTTGTCACCGTCATCACTTTTGTCACTGTTGTCAGCGTTATCTCTGTTGTCACCATTGTCGCTATTGCCACGGTTGTGACCATCATCGCTGTTGTCACCGTTGTCACCATTGTCATTGTTGTCACCGTCATCACTTTTGTCACTGTTGTCATGGTTCTCTCTGTTGTCATTATTGTCGCTATTGTTGCGGTTGTGACCGTTGTCACTGTTGTCGCTGTTGTTATGGTTGTCACTGTTGTTGGTTTACCACCATTGTCAGTGTTGTCACAGTTGTCGCTGTTGTCAGTGTGGTCAATGGGGTCACCGTTGTCACCGTTGTCACTGTTGTTGCTGTTGTCACCGTTGTAACTGTTGTCACTGTTGTCACCGTTGTCACCGTTGCCACTTTTGTCAACGTTGTCACGGTTGTCAGTATTGTCACCGTTGCCGCTGTCGTTAGTGTTGTCACTGTTGTCATTGTTCTCGCAGTTGTCACCTTTGTCACTGTTGACACTGTTGTCACTCTTGGCAGTGCTGTTACCGTTGTCTCTTTTGTCACTGTTGTCACCGTTGTCGCTGTGACAATGGTGACCATTGTCACTGTTTTCACCCTTGTCGCTGTTGTCACCGTTGTTGCTGTTGTCAGTTTTGTCACCGTAGTCGCTGTTGTCACCGTTGTCACTGTTGGCACCATTGTCACTGTTGTCACCGTTGTGAATGTTGTCACCGTCGTCACTGTTGTCAGCATTGTCACTGTTGTCACCGTTGTCACTGTTGTCACCGTTTTCACGCTTGTCACTGTTGTCGCCATTGTTTCCATTTTCACTGTTGTCACCATTGTCACCGTCGTCACTGTAGTCACTGTTTCATGTTTGTCACTTTTTCACTGTTGTCGCTGTTGTCACAGTTGTCGCTGTTGTCACCGTTATTAGTTTAGTCACTGCTGTCCCTGTTGTCACTGTTGTCGCTGTTGTCACTGTTGAAACTGTTGTCAGTGTTGTCATTGTTGTCACCGTTGTCAATGTTGTCACTGTTGTCACATTTCCCACTGTTGTCACCGTTGTCACTGTTTCCACCGTTGTCAATGTTGTCACGGTTGTCACCGTCGTCACTGTTGTCATCGTTGTCACCGTTGTCAATGTTGTCACCGTTGTCACTGTTTTCACCGTTGTCACTTTTGTCACTGTTGTCACCGTTGTCGCGGTTGTCAGTGTTGTCACTGTTGTCATTGTTGTCGCAGTTGCCATCTTTGTCACTGTTTTCACTGTTTTCGCCGTTGTGACTGTTGGAACTGTTGTCACCATTGTCCCTTTTGTTACTGTAGTCACTGTTGTCACCATTGTCACTGTTTTCACCCTTGTCACTGTTATCAACGTTGTTGCTGTTGTCAGTCTTGTCACCGTTGTCACTGATCCCACTGTTGTCACCGTTTTCCCTGTTTCCACCGTTGTCAATGTTGTCACCGTCATCACTGTTGTCACCTTTGTCCCTTTTTTTACCGTTGTCACTGTTGTCACCGTTGTCACTGTTGTCATGGTTGTCACCGTTGTCACTGTTGTCACGGTTGTCACCGTTGTCGCTGTTGTCACAGTTGTCACCATTGTCACTGTTGTCACCGTCATCACTTTTGTCACTGTTGTCAGCATTATCTCTGTTGTCACCATTGTCGCTATTGTTGTGGTTGTGACCGTTGTCACTGTAGTCGCTGTTGTCATTGTTGTCACTGTTGTCAGTGTGTTCAATGTGGTCATCGTTGTCACTGTTGTCGCTGTTGTCACCGTTGTAACTGTTGTCACTGTTGTCACCATTTTCACTGTTGCCACTTTTGTCAACGCTGTCGCGGTTGTCAGTGTTGTCACCGTTGTCGCTTTTGTTAGTGTTGTCACTGTTGTCATTGTTGTCGCAGTTTTTACCTTTGTCACTGTTGTCACTGTTGTCACCATTGTCACTGTTTCACCCCTGTCGCTGTTGTCACCGTTGTTGCTGTTGTCAGTGTTGTCACCGTAGTCGCTGTTGTCACCGTTGTCACTGTTCCCACTGTTGTCACCGTTGTCATTGTTTCCACCGTCGTCAATGTTGTCACCGTCGTCACTGTTGTCACCATTGTCACTGTTGTTGCCGTTGTCGCTGCTGTCACTTTTGTCACTGTTTCCACCCTTGTCACTGTCAAAGTTGTCGCTGTTGTCACAGTTGTTGCTGTTGTCACGGTTGTCAGTGTTGTCACTGTTGTCACCGTTGTCACTGTTGTCACGGTAGTGACAATTTTTAAATTAACAGAAAATATGACTCCACGTACTCCACACGACATTGCACCACCTCCAATCCAAGCATCTGTAAACAATAAAGCCGTTTTTCTATGCGATTCGAATGGAAAATTTATCGACAGAAGAAAGCTTTTTCAGCCAACACAAGATTTCACATTCTTTAGATGTCCCAAAATTGAACACGCAAGGGCTATTTTACAAGTTGAAATTGATGAAGAATCGGCCGGACATCCCCAATTAATCATAATCCACACCGGAACAAATGATCTTACTACAACAACGCCAATACACGACTTCATCTCTGATATATCTGTATTAATCACCCAAGCATCTGCAAAGTTCCCAAAAAGCAAAATCGTCTATTCAACTCTCTTGCCGCGAACTGATATTCCCCTGCATACTTTATCCAAAATAAACACAAACCTTATTGACAGCTGCTCAAAACTACCAAACGTCGATCTAGTCAAACATGAAAATATCTTCTCCAAGGGAATTGAAGTGTTGCATGACAGAAAACATCTTTAAAAAAGGCACCTTGGTTTGTTCGTAGCAAACATAAAAGCAGCCATTCGTGGTAAAGGAAAACGACCTCGCGCCAAAACCAACCAATTGTACCGATCCTCACTCTCTTCGTCGCACTCGTTTCACACTAGTCCTTCGGAAGGCTATCTTCCCTCCAGCAATGGTGTTAGGAACATACACAGCCAAGTCCACCAGACCTCGCGGGAAACACAGCAACAACCTTTACCTCCCCGTTTACCATATACAAATCCTTTGGCTCATGCCTCTTATAGTAATGCTGTTAAAAACGGTCACAAACTGACCTACAACATTCCGCAAGCACCACAACAGCAACAGAACTTTCCGCCACAACACTACAATGTACAGAGTTTCTCACCGTCTCACTTAGCGGCAGTGGGACCGATTCCTTCTGTTCCTCTCCAGAACGACTGTGCTGTTGAAAAAGCCCCGGCAGCTGAAATCCCAAAGGAACTGGTATCTTAAATCCAATTTTTCAGACCCTTGTATAATATCTTATACATAACCCACCACTTTCAATGCTAGTTGTTAGCTAGTTTCCCGGGATATCTGATTTAAGCTTTCTTTTTTTCAGGTACTAAGTTTGATACAATATGCCAGGGCCCTTAAGCTTCCCCAGCAAATTATCTTTTTCTGCTTGGAACATTAATGGGCTATAGTCGAAATTATTAGGGGAAAAATTGCAAAATTTGGATTGTAAAAACTTGATTAATTCTTTTGATTTCGTAATTCTCTCCGAAACATGGAAAAAGTGACTGTTGAAGAAAACGGTTACAAGATTGTGACTACAAATAACTTCAAAAGAAGAAAATGCGGACGTAACTCGGGTGGATTAGCTCTGCTCTACAAACTAAAGTTTGACGATTGGATTTCAGTGCAAAAAGAATCACCAAATTTTTATGGTTTTAAAGTAGTAATCGCTACACAAAAACTACAAAAGACATTTATGTCTGGGGAACGTACATTCCACCATACAATCGTCGCTACTTTCGACCTGAACTATTTGAAGAGCTTGAAAGTCACATCGAGAAATTCTCCTCCCTTGGTTCAATTCTTATTATGGGAGACTCCAGAGTAGGCAAACACCCGAACAGTGTTTGTCAAGAAGGTAATAAGATAATAACAAACGATTTTTCTGAATCTTCGTTATGCGCCACCCAACGAAAAAGTTTTGATAATGATTTCAAAAATCATGGAAAACGACTCTTTGAAATTTGTAGAAGGACGGACTTAAGAATTTTAAATGGTAGAATTAATGGCGACTCGTTAGGCAGACCTACATTTCATGGTAAATCGGTAATCAGTGTCATTGATTACTCCATATGTAACCAAGATTTGCCACGAAATATAACATCTGTTATAGTGAAACAGCCAAACAGTTTCTTAGATCATAGTCCAATAATAACATGGCTTAAGGTTAACCGTCATTTAGATAATGATTCATCAAATGAGGCAATTATAAATGATTCTTTGACTCCTCTATCAAAACAGTGTTTTTGGGAAAACGATTCGTCACAAAAATTTGAGCTACATTACAGTCTGAAGACATCCAAAGACCACGATTTTATGAATACTACAACAACCACGAGAAATGTTGACATGAACCTTAATACAGTAGAAAATATTCTTATTTCAACCGCAAAACGTTGTTTGAAAATCAAAACAGCGAAAAAGCGACGTTGCAAAACATCCTCGAACAAAAAAAATGGTTCGACAAAGAATGTCGCTATAAAAGACATGAACTGCGGAAACTTTCTAATCATAAACACAGAGATCCTCTAAACAATACCCTCAGGGAAGAGTATCACAACGTCTTAAAGCAATATAAAATCCATTGTCGCTATTGTCACGGTTGTGACCGTCATCGCTGTTGTCACCGTTGTCACCATTGTCATTGTTGTCACCGTCATCACTTTTGTCACTGTTGTCATGGTTCTCTCTGTTGTCATTATTGTCGCTATTATTGCGGTTGTGACCGTTGTCACTGTTGTCGCTGCTGTTATGGTTGTCACTGTTGTTAGTTTACCACCATTGTTAGTGTTCTCACAGTTGTCGCTGTTGTCAGTGTGGTCAATGGGGTCACCGTTGTCACCGTTGTCACCGTTGCCACTTTTGTCAACGTTGTCGCGGTTGTCAGTATTGTCACCGTTGCCCCTGTCGTTAGTGTTGTCACTGTTGTCATTGTTCTCGCAGTTGTCACCTTTGTCACTGTTGACACCGTTGTCACTCTTGGCACTGCTGTTACCATTGTCTCTTTTGTCACTGTTGTCAGCGTTATCTCTGTTGTCACCATTGTCGCTATTGTCACGGTTGTCACCGTCATCATTGTTTTCACCTTTGTCACTGTTGTCACCGTTGTAACTGTTGTCACCGTTGTCACCGTCATCACTGTTGTCACCTTTGTCACTGTTGTCACCGTTGTCACGGTTGTCAGTGTTGTCAATATTGTCGCCGTTGTCACTGTTGTCACGGTTGTCACTGTCATCACTGTTGTCATTGTTGTCACCTTTGTCACTGTTGTCACTGTTGTTACCGTTGTCACGGTTGTCACCGTTGTCGCTGTTGTCACTGTTGTAACTGTTGTCACCATTGTCACTGTTTCCACCCTTGTCGCTGTTGTTACCGTTGTCACTGTTTTTACTGTTTTCACTGTTGTCGTTGTTGTCGCTGTTGTCACTGTTTTCACCCTTGTCACTGTCAAAATTGTCGCTGTTGTTACTGTTGTCACTGTTGTC